TTAACTTCGACCACATGTAGTTCTCATTCCAAATGGGGGAACTGCGAAAAACACAGTTGTTAATAAGTGCATAGTTAACTGCTATAAACGCATAATAAAACAACAAAAAAGCTAAGTAGCTTTAATAAGGACATAATAGGTAAGTTAGTTAAAGTTAACACTAGTGTGATGCTAATATATATATATAAACAATTATAAGAACCTCATAAATTGTTAATTCAATTTTCTTTGAAGTGCTGATGCATGTTTTATAATGTAACAAAACACATGCCTATGATGCTAATATTAACACTTATATAGTCTTACTAACACATAACAACATTAATAAGCATCTTATAAGGATCTATGAAGGCCTTATCACCTCTTAACATATTACAACAACCTTAATATAAACAGCTAGTAACAATACTGTGTAGAGTCCATAGTTTTACTTTTCTGTTGTTCAGTTAAACAGTTTCTCTAGCTCCAGGCAATTAAAGCAGTTTTGAGGAAGACACTTAACCCCAAATTGCTCCCGTAGCTGTGCCTACGGTGTATAGATAGATACTGAATTGTAAGTCGCTTTGGATAAAAGCGTCTGAAATGTAATGTATACTGTGTGTGTGTGGGCACACAATAGAAATAAAACAGGACTATAATTCCTATTCAAATCAACGTAGTGGGATGGTCAGAGCAGCGGACATTTTTATGTGTACCGTTGCCATTGCGAGCGTTGTAGCGTGCTGACAACCATACCAAACCGATTTATGACAAGTCGCGGACTCACTGAGGTGAGGCTTTGCAGTAACGACTAAAATGAGCAGTGGAGTAGAAATGGTACGAAGCGTAGCGAGCCAGAGTAAATTATTAAAATTTAAAAACGTAATGCTTCATGCACTCACTATAGTCACAGCCTAGAAAAGCAAAATGCTATCGCCAGGTGAGTGACAACTTTGTTCGGGTGTGTAGCATTAAAGCATGGTGGAATCAGCTAGCAATCTAGCGAACTAGCGGGAAGCTAGCTTGCTAATTCGACCATGCTTTAATGCTACACTGGTACAGCGGGCTGCTGGATCTAACGGTCCCGACGCCTCATTCCCCACCATTCCGGAGAATGACAAGCTACCTAGCTAACGAGCCAGACATTCGTCTTCGGAGCTGCATCCGCTCTCTTCCTGGCGAGCAGCGACATCACTACTACAGCCCCACTAGCATGAGTTGTCACCATAAAAACTAACAACAAACGCCATTTTCTTTTGTACAAGTCAAATGACCACGGAAAACATTTCAATGCCTGTTCCACTCCTATTCTATGTCTGTGTGTGTGCTTCCACCTCCAACCAAGGTTTAATCTCTCCCAGTCTGAACAGAACATCTGTCCCCAGAGATCGTATTGATCCACCAAAATGACGAGGACACCGACGGTGAAACCTGCCATCGAGTTTTTACAAATGTGTGAAAAGATGTTAAAATGAATAGTCCCAAACATCTAACATACACACCTGTTATAGAAGACAAATCTCATACATGAAAAGTTTTTAGTGCAAGTAGTGTTTATGATGACACCACTTCAACTCTCAAATGACTTTACTGTAAATGTTTTAATTCACAATTTTATCCAAAAAGCATCTCCAAAGCCACAAAGAAGTGGATTTATTCGTCTGCTTTTTGTTAACTTTTTTCTGTTTTGCATCTTCCTGCATGAGTATTTGTTTTCATCTGTCAGCTCCTGTATTATAATAAAACCCTCACTTCTGACCCTGCATTACTCACACATGGTGTCATTACATGCTTTCATATAAACCCCACCAAAAATGTAACATTGAGATGACCCTTGTTTATCTCCTGCACCAGCTGCTCCAGATGATACCAGCAGTGTTTTGGTGGCTTCAGCTCCATTGTGACCCAACAGTGCTGTGAACATGGAGTGAATGACTGCTGTTCCAACCATTTTAAAGACTCTGCTGTTGGTTTGTCGGCCTGCTGATGCACTCAGGATGGTTGAAGATTAGATGCCTTGCTCACGGACACTAAACTATGTAGTTGTGTTGTAATAGAATGTATTGTATTAAAGTGGGGGTTTTGTATTAAGTCTGGATCCATTTACTTTTACTTCCCTGGAGTATTTCCATCTGAAGGGGTGTAGGGCCATCAATATGGAACTGAATGGGAAAGTAATTTATGAGAAAAGAGAATTGCTGTTTGTGTTTGCAGCCTCCAGTGAGCTCATAAATCTGTCATCTTGTCCCCTCTGTTAAAAGAGGCCAGAGTGTAATACAATGGTCTTGCTAGTCATTAGTACACGCTTGCTCGGTTTGCTCTGTTTTCTATCATCTCAACTGCCACCTCATTATTCACCCCTGTGATGTAATATTAAACCCAAATCAGGCCCTTTAAAACAGTAATCGTTTCCCTGTTGTTTAGTCTAATGCACTTGAGTTGAAACTCCTGTTTTTTGCATCTGCGTCATGCTACCGAACATGTAATTTATGTCTTAGTTCCTAGCAAAAAGTGATGACATACCAATCACCCTTTTATGCTAACTTTTCTAACATGAAACATAATTAAATCTAAATGCAAGACTAAATGTTTTTCAAGACAATATGTTTTTTTTGTTTTATTACTCGATAGATTCAGTCTAAACACACACAGCACTGGTGTGAGTGCATTGCAAACTACTTTCTGTATATATTCGCTTGAGAAGATGCATTAAAGCTGGTATTAAAGGTAAACTCTGAGAAAATGGAGGACGATCACTGAGGACTGAATCTGTAATTGTCCTTGTAGTCTTAATAATATATATTATTCGATCACTTTTCAAGTTAGAGAGTGCTTTACGTGGACATGAAAAGCAAGAGACATTATCAGATAGTGATGGATCACAGACTTGATACGGTAATAATGAAAAGTACGAATTACCAAAACATAGTAAAAGCAGAAGAATGATCGATTGAGAGAAAGCAATTCTGAAAAACAAACGTTTTTAAGAGAGAAGAAACAGAGCTAGCGTTCCAGAGTCCCTGACTCCAAAGACTCGTCTCTGGTTTCTAACCTTGACCTAAGAATTACTGACAGACCCCTGTTGGAGGATCTCAGGCTGCATTCAGGGGCATAAGGGGTTAGTAAATCCAAAATATAATCTACTGTATATATATCTATAATCTATAAAAGAGAAATAGATCTGAGAGTCTTCAGAGTAAAAATGGAAACTGATGTTGGGATGATGTGCTTGAAGGGATAGTTCACCCAAAACTAAAAACATACAGATTTTTCCTGCTACCTGTAGTGCCATTTATCAATCTAGATTGAACTAAACATGAAACTGCTCAAAACAAGGTCTGTGGATTATCTTGAGAAACAGGGTCATGATTTCTGGAGAGAGAAGTTGCTGCTGAGTTTTTCAAATGTGCTTTGAGCTCCACAAGCCGAGTGCCATGTAATCTCATTATATTAGAGGGAAGGCAGACATCTCTACAGCCGATATCTCTTAAACAACTCACACCAAAACAATCTGGATTGATAAATAGCACTGTGGGTAAGAGGGAAATATTTTGGGGTAAATTGTCCCTTTAATACTTTTAAACAAAAGGCTTTTAGGGGAATAAAACTTTCGCTCAGGATGAAAATAATGCCAATGGAAAGTCAACTAGAATCCTTTTTTATAAATGCAACAGTCAGAGCAGTCCAAAGTCAAAGTCATGTAGTATTTAATATTCAAGAAGACACATTTTGGCGGATGGCTCCAAAAACACAGGACGTTGAACTGTGAGACCGCGTGTTTTGACCCTGGTTTTATGGCTGTGGTTTTGTTGCCTAATCTTAACTGCACGTAGTTATTTGAAGGCCGACCAGGATGTTGACCTAACTAAGTGGTTTTGTTGCCTAAAACTAACTTTAATTTTTAACATAATGTCATCCCCCCCAAAAAGGTTGCACAGAATAGATTTCATTTTGTGACTTTTTTACAAACTGACGCGAGACTGCGTTACATAATTGGCTATAGTTACTTTTTCCAATGAAATTAACTTATCTATCAAGAACTACACAAAGAAGGTGAAATGATGTAAGCAGGGCTAAAGTGTCCACACATCTCAGAGCAGGCGGTGTCTCCAATTTGCTTATTTTTTCCGACCAACAGTCGGAAGACAAACAACAAATCTTCACGTTTTAGCGCCGAAACCAGAGAACATGTTTGATCTAACATGTTACAAATTACTAAAACTATTGACTAGTATAGAATAGTGCCAAATACATTTTCTATCAATGGACTAATCAATTAATTGTTGCAGCTCTAGTTTATAGCTAATGTAAGCAAACTGCATGTGTTGCTCTGCACCTTAAACATATTGCAATATATAAGGTAAGGTGGAGACATATTTGGTTACACTTGGACTGTATGCACACACACACACACACACACACACACACACACACACACACCCAAACACACCATTATGAATGGCAGATATTGCCCCTGGCGAGATGTTCTTGCTGGCGAGAGACATGGAAGACGCTCTGCAGGGGCTGCACTCCGTCCGCTGGAAACTGTTTTGTATTAGAGTTCTACAAGTGTTTGACACGGACGTGTGAGCATGTAGGCACCGGGGCCACATCTGAAGCACATCTAATGCACTAAGATGTCAGATTCACCCATCCACCTGACCATGAACAGCAGAAAAGAGGGGGGGAGAGTCTGAAAAGCCCAGGGGGTGCAGTGGGGTGAGAGCCAAGTGAAGGCGCGATGCAGCGGACGGAGAACTTGTTTCCATTCTCTCAACATGTGTGTAATATCTGCTTCCAATCAACCTCAGACTACCCACAGCAGACAGAGTTTCCCCCTTTTTCCATCCCTCTCTCTCCTCACACACAATAAAAGTCAGACGAAATTACATGATCTCATTCCCCCAACTTTACCCGACTCACACGTGTGCACTGGAATATTCAGCACCCACGCTGACACTCACACACACACACACACACACACACTCAGGACACATACACATCCATCCTCCATCACTCACCCTGGCTGTTGGGTCCCCCCTCTCCCTCCTCGCCGTCCGTCATGTTGTTCAGCATCCTCTCTCTCTCTCTCTCTCTCTCTCTCTCCTCAGGTTGTGCACTCTGAGCACGGCTCCTGATCCCGTTGCTTAGAAAAGAAAAGCTGGATGCTGGGTTGGCTGGAGCCAACCGGGAGATGCTGCTTCTAGTTTTTGCGTCTCACTGCCTCTTTTCGTAGCTCAGTAAAAAAAAAAAAAAAAAAAAAAAGAGGCAATTTTTCATCCTCTCTTTGACTTGTCTTGTCTGTTGCGTGATGCCATGTGCCTCTCTCTCTCTTCACAGGAGGATGGAGAGACAGAGAGGCTGCAGGGGGAGAGTTGATGATGGTGCTTGGTGTCACTCACATGCACGCTCTCAGTCTCTGTGCGCCACTTGCCCCCCAGTCAGTTTAAGCCCAATGACTACATTCATGTATTCAGGAGGTATTATCCCTCCCTCCCCCCTCCCTCACGCACGTTCATCATCATCATCCATCTCATCATGAAAAAAGGGGATGGATGGAGAGGGATTGAGAGACAGAGGGGATGCACGTCAGCTGACAAAGTACTGCCTCCTGAGATTAAGCATCTCTTTTGATGTTCTTTTCAAATGGAGAATGCGATTCCATTTCATTACTGTGTATTCATCCCTCTTTTGTTATTTTGCCCCTTATCCTGCTTCTCTGTTTTATGTTCTCCTGCGTGACCGTGGCCCATTATCTGCAGGAGGGCTGCAGGCAGCACTTGTATAACTCATTGAAATTAAAATGCAGCACCGTTACCTCACAGACCTGGTTGACCTGCCCTGCTCATGGTGAGTGCTTCGGAGAGACTTTTTCCTAAATTGTAACTTTAATATATATTTATTAAATTTCAAACATTCATCTAAATAAAAGTAATGAAAGGGAAAGACAAGCACTTGACAGAGGATTTATAGGCAGTGAAGGGAAACCTAAAATAGAAGTCTTCTTGATATAAGAGCCACATTTGATCACGCTGTGGTGACAGATAGATAGAAATATGTAGTTGGTGTAGCTGGAAAGGCCATCAACTTTATTTATTTTGTATTCATTTAACAGGGATACAGCATGTTTCAAATCCCATCACACTACCTATGATGTTCCACATGTGTTCAATACTTGGTCGACTCCTTTTTTCATTATTCATGATTCCACTCAGCCAAATTTGACGACAATATGGTGTACATTTTCAAAGCTACGCTGACGACGTATGTAGAGTTAAAGATACTTCAGATTTATTCAAAATTAAATGAGGTCCGAAATTATAGTTATTGGTTCCGATCCTAAATAAGTAAACTGCCTTCTGTCAAGGTTATGAAAAAGACTGATAGGGGACGGACCCAAGCGCAGAAGGATTTGTTAGATGATGATTTAATAATGAAAAATGTCCAAAGCAAAACTTTCAGAGCAAGGAAGTCCAAATGAAGTCCAAAAATCCGAGGGAAAAAACAAGGAACGGGATAAGGATATTAAAAAAGAATCATAAGGGAAACATAATTGACAAAACACAAAGCAGAACCGAACGGGAAAAGGGGCAACACAGGGAACATACCAAGAATGAGCATACCCGGGCACAATAGGGCACACCACCTGCCTAGCAACACAAATATCCTAAAACACTACAGACATTAATGGATGAAAGCTTGTTTTCAAACCATTAGTAGTTCTGTGCTCGACATTACGTCACAGTGAACTGTGTCTCAAATTAGATGATCTCTTGAGTTTTGGCAGATGTTCAGAGATACTTTATCCTCACTGACTTGAAACCAAGTCGAGGTTCTCAGGCCTCTCGGATATTTCAAACAGTAACTCCACTGCTGTCAGAATATCTGAGTGACAGGAAGAGGAAGGAGTAGAAAGGAATATTGTAGGGAAGGAGATGTGTGCTGAAATCAGTCAGTAAATGGAAGCTGGAAGAGGGTCACAGAGTGGGTCACAAGAGGGAAAAGAGAACAATGGAGCATTCTGCTCGATAATCAAGCAGGTTCCCCAGTGAGAGGAGCACATTCAACAGAAGAAACACAACGCTTGTTAGGCATTAAATTAAGGATTTGAATGAGGGGAATAAAAGAGAACTGGATCATCAACTACAGTACACTACAAGTACAATACTGAAGTACTCAAGCTTTCTTTTCCACAGTGTAAGAAGCCGTCAAATACCGGATTTAAATAAGAGAAAGTCTGATGATATTTGGGTTTACAGCACAAGCTGTGACATGTCACTGGTATTTATTTATATATAAAGCACTTGTTGAAAAAAATGGCATCATATATCTCATGTTTTCTTCTTCTGTCCATATAAAATCCGACTCTCACTGCAATGCGCTGTACACATCCAGGCTGATCATTGTAACACCTCGCCTCACCATGACAGATGGGTCATCCAATCACCCGCCATGCATCTTTTGCAAGGTCAAGTTACTTTAAACCTGCATTAACTGACTTTTTGGTCACAGGCATAATAAGCCATAATGAGCCATAATACAAAGAACAAAAGAAAACGTCAAAAGACAATGCAAATAAATGTGGAGCGGCCACATCAGCTTTCCATAGACATTGCATGGCAGCTTGCTGCACCCCGCTGCTCTTTTATTAATAACAGTTTTAAGTGGTTTCACATCGCGCAGAAGAATACCCGGAGTCCCGACTTCGGAGAACTCACAGAGGACTACGGCCATGAGGGGATACGTGATGAATACAACTTGGATTAAGACTTTACAACTGCTCCAGCATTAGATTTACATGTTAGCGAGAAGAGGGCTTAAAGCTAGACCCGACCCCTGATGTTTTATTCGTCTCTGTAAGCTATTAGTGGCTTCATCGTCATGATGTACATTACATTACATTAATTTAGCAGACGCTTTTATCCAAAGCAACTTACAATTCAGAGTCTATCACATTTCTACACCATAGGCACAGCCACGGGAGCAATTTTGGGGTTAAGTGTCTTGCTCAAGGACACATCGACATGCGACTAGCGGAGCCGGAGATTGAACCGCCGACCCTCTGATTGAAAGACGGCCCTGCTATCCACTTAGCCACAATCGCCCCAATATAATACATATAAATGTATTATATTCTGTTCACATATTGTGAACATGCTAGCAAAAGCAATTGTTTATACAACCCAGCAGATGAGGAACAACATCATCATTCAAGAAGTCGTGATTCTGGCATTCTGACGGATTTAATTCCAATATTCACTCTCTTGAAATAATTTGAAATATGTCTGTTTAGCTGCTAAATGCTGCTCTATGTTCACCAGATAGTTGATAACTGTATCGGCCTTTTGTTTGATGCTGGGCAGGTAATATACAGATGTTTTTAGAGCCTTTTCTCTGAAAACAGCTTCCGTCTGGCACCAAAAAAACAATAATATGAGAGCGATGAGAGTGAAATGAGACAATTTGCAGGCTGTAAAAAAACAAAACAATGTGCAGAATAAGCGCTCCGTAGAGCTGGGGGAAACTCCAGAGTCCCGTTTGTCGTACCAGTGACCCCTTTCACATGCACTAAAGTAATTTAATCCATTGTATATGTAAAACAAATTGATTACAGCAGCTTTATATAAACGCAATTCCAAGTAGAGCCCTTGCTCTTTGTCTCTATCCCATAATGTTATTTCGTACACCGTATATAGGCTGCCTGTACATCAAGTGTGCGTGTGGTCTAACTGACCGTTTCCCTGCCCTGTCAGTGAGAGTGGGCTGTTGGCTGGGCTTTGATTGGCAGGGAGCCTGAGAGCCATTTTCATCTGGGCCAAGCGGCTTTAGCTCTTAACCCACGGGCACCTCCCTCCCTCTCCGCCTGTCTGCTGCTGCTACCGCACATGTGGCTCTCAGTGCTATTGACACACTCATTCACACCTATGTTGGTATTCAAAAGCACGCCGGCACGCACAACACACGAGCAAATTACCTGCAAAGAAAGCTTTGCAAACACCCACACACACTAACACACATGCACAGACACTTTCTGATGCTCTGATCCTGCAGATTAAGGCCATGAAGTGATGATTTTTCCCCCTCCTGTTCAAGCACCGAGCTAAATTGTTGAGTAAGTGTCTCCTTTAAAAGAAAGGAGGCTGGGTCAGCTGCAGGCGAGGTGAAGAGGTCACCAGCTCCTCTGAGCCTGCTTTCTCTTTATCCTTTGTCCTCCCTTTCATGTGGAAGAATAAAGACAGGGTTCTCATATGGAATCAACTAATGTCAAATCAATAATAGGTGCTCATCTAATTGAAAGTGGGTTTTAATAGACGGGTCATTATCCGCGAATGGTCGAGCAAGTGATTTTGTACAGCTGCTAAATGATCCACTATGAAGTGTGTGTTAGTCTGCTGAGCAGGTACTGGAGCCTCCACTGGGTTTGGTGAACTTTATTCTTTTGCTGAAAACGACGCAAATTTGACTTGCTCCAAATGACCAACAACAGCCCTATCAGCTCGAGACTATTACCTGGGCAACTCTGGAAATTTGTAATACTTGCGGAGGTCGTCTGTCATCTTATTCACATGCTAATCTGCCATGTTCGTAATTCGTCAAGTAAAAATTCAGCCGCAAATTATGTCCCATATTTCCCCAAACACAGAGCTCATATCGTGCAAATCGGTTGAGAACTTTGGAGCCTGCGTTGGCAATTCTAAATAAACGTTTACAGCATTTTGGGTGCAAATTCAGGAGGCTCATCTCGCTACACAACATGGATATAATATTATATATTATAATATTTATCATATTAAAATATCATGTTACGTAGATACAGACTTCACTTATCCTGTGTGGATGCGCCCCACGAAACACAGACGTGGGGGGTCATTTCTAAATCACACGAGGACCCCTGGTAACATTCGACCCATGTCAATAGAGCACTATTATGATAGAGCCTACTAATTGTACTTGAACTACCACATTGGGCGCAACCCAACCCTGACCTTGAGAGTCCTTCATAAATTACGACAGAATGGCTCTCAATCTGTCAAGAGTCCTAGTTGATGAATATTGCAAAAGTCTGAGAGATAATAGGCCGGTGTATTTTGCAAACACTGGGCAGATGTCTTGCAACACAGATGCACTCAGAGTCACAAGTTTGCGTTTGTAGAAAATCCCAACATTATAATAAAGGGGATATAATAAAGCAATAGTGTGATCTTGCAATATTTTATAGAGACGCAAGAT